TATATATATATATATATATATATATAAATAAATACTATCATAACCTAAATGTTTGAATTGAAATTACTATTAAACTTACATGATCTTGCTCATATTCAAGTACACTTGCATACAGAACCCGCTGCTCTTGTTCCTCAGCTGTCATGGTCCCACAGGTCACAAACCTCCTGCAAAAACGCACCCATTTCATGCACCCAAATTAACATTGTATAATAAAAAATAAAAAAAAACCTATTGGGCATTAAACAGCTTAAATGTGTTTACATAATTATTTAGCTATTACACGGTATTGTGTCATGCACAACAATTATGAAACAGGCAAAACTCATAATACTACATTTGCAAATAAATAGCCAGCTAAACGACTTTATATGGCCTATGGGCCAAGAAGGCTCACCTGTTAGCTTCTTCCTGCAGCCTGAGTCTCCTTTCCTCCATTTTTCTTTGAAGCTGCAAGAGCTCAGGAAAACTCCCAAACATTTGAAAAATTACCACACTCAGAAAAAGATATCAGCAGAAGGCAAACCTTGCACACAGCGCATTGATTAAACATTCACCCAACATGCTGCAAGTTTAGTTTTTGGTTTTTCACATGTCCACATTATCAATGAGGCAGTGCTTTAAGCTTTCAGTAAATTGAAACAATTGGAGATTTTGAAAATAATTAAATATAAATACTTAAATACTTTTTGAAAATAAAATAAACTGCAAATATTATGATTCAATGCAACTTGCAAATAAAACAAACTGAGCATTGACATTTTGAACAATAGACACCTTTGGTTTGCAAAGAAAGAACAACAGGTCACAGAGGCGTTGACCTTCCAACCCTAAACTTTTCCTCCCAAACACTCGTGACACATGCATCTCAAAGGTCAAACACTGATACACTTAAAATAGACATCAAAACCCCTTTGATAATCTTATGTAATAACCTCTACAACAGCATAAGTGATTGACAGAAATTATTGATGGAAAGAAAATAGATGTAACAGATTCGATAGCAATTACAGCCACTATTCACTCAATTTTAACACCTGTCCAATTCAAGGTTGATTTTTCAACAGAATCGCAATGCAATGCATTCAGGTGGAAAATCTGAAACCAGATCTTAACCAAAGCCACAGCTCAAGAAAGGGTTAAGGATACTGCATCTTGCCTGGCTTTGGCTATTATCAGATTCTCCATCATCTGCCTCTGGAGCGAGAGAGTCTATAATAAGAAAAAGAAAAAGACCAGTGTTATACAATTCATTATTTCAGGTTCAACTATATCAACATTTACTCAAGAAGAAGAAAAAAAATGGAAGAAATGTACATGACAAAGTGCATATAGTTTTAAACCTAATACTGCAGCACCACTGCAGCTTTAAAACAAACTCGCAGCACACTAAATATTCCGTTTGAAAACATCCACCACTTCCAATCACAAAAACTCAATTACTTTAACTGGCCACCAGTTCTTCCCTATTTGAAAAATCACACTTCTGCCTAATTAATTTAAAATAATCATTTACATTTAGTCATTTAGCAGACGCTTTTATCCAAAGCG